GGGGGGAGAAGAGAGAAGGAAGAGAGGGAGGGAGGAAGGGAGGGAGGTGGGAATGACAAGGAAGAAAGGGAGGGAGGGAAGGAAGGATGGAAGAGAAGAGAGAGCGGAAGGAAGGGGAGAGAAGGAAGAGAGGTGAGAGGGAGGGAGGAAAAAGAAAGAGGGGAAAGAGGAATGGATGGATGGATGGAAGGAAGGAAGGAAGAGGGAGGGAATGAGAAGGAAGAAAGGGAGGGAAGGAAGGATGGATGGAAGAGAAGAGAGAGGGAGGAAGAGAGGAGATGAGAGGGAGGGAGGGATGAAAGAGGGGAGAGAGGAAGGAAGGGGAGAGAAGGAAGAGAGGTGAGCGGGAGGGAGGAAAAAGAAAGAGGGGAAAGAGGAATGGATGGATGGATGGATGGAAGGAAGGAAGGAAGAGGGAATGAGAAGGAAGAAAGGGAGGGAAGGAAGGATGGAAAAGAAGAGAGAGGGAGGAAGAAAGGAGATGAGAGGGAGGGAGGGATGAAAGAGGGGAGAGAGGAAGGAAGGGGAGAGAAGGAGGAGAAGTGAGAGGGAAGGAGGAAGGAAGGGAGGGATGGAAGAGAAGAGAGAGGGAGGAAGGAAGGGGAGAGGAGGTGAGAGACAGGCAGGAAGGAAGGGAGGGATGGAGGGAGGAAAAAGAAAGAGGGGAGGGATGGAGGGAGGGAGGGAAGGAGAGAGGGAGCGAGGGAAGAAGGAAGGGAAGAGAAGGAAGGGAAGGAAGAGAGGTGAGAAGAAGGAATGAAGGAGGGAGAGAAAAGGAATGCAAATAACCCTGCTTGCTTAGACCACAGACCTGTCTTCCAGTAGGAACAACGGGCGCCTCTAAGTAGATCACACCAACCAGGGCAGGTAGAGCTCTTTCCAGCCCTGGTTCCCGGGACCCCCCCCCCTTGGGACCCCCAAAACAAAGGGTGACCCCCGTGACTTCCTTCCCAGGCTGCCTCAATCCAGAGTCTAGCGAGGCCCTTCCGGATAGCAAAATGCCGCCTTCTTCCTCCCAGGACCCCAGTGTTTGTGTGTGTTTGTGTGTTCCACTGCGCCCCCCTTTCAACGCCACCCCCTTCCCCAATCCCGGCACCCCGCTCACCCGCCGCGTGAGTCTCGGAGGGCTCCTGCTGGCACACCCGGTGCAGCGAAACGATGAACTGGCCCAGGGCTTCGAACGCCGCTTTCCGCACCCGGATGTGGGGACACTAGAAAAGGACAAGACGCCCCCATCCCCACATTAGGGAGATCAGAAGACGCCCCCCCCTCCCCAAACACCCCCCCTCCGCTGCCTTTGCACCGGGCACGGTGACCCCAACTTTAGCCCAAGACGGATCAGAGCAGCCGACACAAATGTGGAGCTTCAGAAGCTGGGAAAAGTCGGGCAGAGATCAAAACCCTGGTTCAACCGGGTCCGGAGCCCCCCCTCCCCAAAGTTTCTGCAGCCCCCTCCCCAAAAAATGACACCCTACCCAGAGCTAACCCCCCCCCCCCCATTTCTGGCTGAAGCAGTAAAACTATACAGATAGTCCTCGACCTACAATTAGAACGGAGTCTGTTCTGTTCGTTTCGGGTCGTTATGTCGTCACGGTTGTAAAAGGGGACGGGCACATCTCTCTCTCTCTCTCTCTCTCTCTCTCTCTCACACACACACACACACACACACACACACAAAGGTAACGGTCCAGTCTTACCGGCAGTAACTGGGACACTTCCTGGAATGAGGTCTCGATGTAAGGCAGGAAGGGCACACTGAGAAAGAGAAAGAGAAAGGAAGGAAGGAAGGAAGGGAAAAGAAGGAATGTAAAGTAAGGAAGGAATATAGAGGAAGGAAGGAAGAGGAACAAAGGAATATAGAGGAAGGAAGGGAGGAATGTAAAAGAAGGAAAGAAGGAAGGTAGAGGAAGGAAGGGAGGAATGTAGAGGAAGGAAGGAATGTAAAGGAAGGAAGGAAGGAAAGAAGGAAGGGGAAGGAAGGAATGTAAAGAAAGGAAGAGAGGAAGAAAGGAAGGAAGGAAGGAAGGAAGAGGAACGAAGGAATGTAGAGGAAGGGAGGAATGTAGAGGAAGGAAGGAAGGTATGTAAAGGAAGGAAGGAAGGAAGGAAGGAAGAGGAACGAAGGAAAGAAGGAAGGAAGGAAGGAAAGAAGGAAGGAAGGAAAGTAGAGGAAGGAAGGAAGGAAGGAAGGAGGGTTGAGGAAGGAAGGAAGGAAGGTATGTAGAAGAAGGAAGGAAGGAAGGTAGAGAAAGGAAAGAAGGGGAAGGAAGGAATGTAAAGAAAGGAAGGAAGATAGAGGAAGGAAGGAAGAGGAACAAAGGAATGTAGAGGAAGGAAGGAAGGAATGTAAAAGAAGGAAAGAAGGAAGGTAGAGGAAGTAAGTAAGTAAGTAAGTAAGTAAGTAAGTAAGTAAGGAAGGAAGGAAGGAAGGAAGGAAGGAAGGAAGGAAGGAAAAAATGAAGAATTTCTGGAGCAAATCAGCTCTTTTCCAAGCCTGCGCTCGGCTGTTCTCCCTAGATGCAGTTTTCCCCCCTTACCGTATTCACCCTCTGCCCCCCTATTGGTCTCTGTGTGGCCCCCTTTCTGCTGTGGGGCCTGGAGGGCAAGGTTTTACAACACGGGCAATTGCAGGGGGCTAAAACAGGAAAAGGGGTGCTTAATGTCACCTCAAATCATCAAAAAAGGTCCCTCTGCAGCTCTTTGCAAAGTTAGGAGGCTGTATTCAGCCCACCCCCCCTCCAGCCCAAATTTGCCCCTTCCCCACTTTCAAGGGGTCCAAATGGGCCCAAAGGAGAGGCAGCTTGGTGTCGGGGTGAAGGTGCCGGTGAACTCCAGCTGAACTCACTGGGAGACGGTGAGTTCTAGTCCCACCTGAAGCATGCAGGCTGGTTGGGTGATTTGGAGCCAATCATCAGGCGGCGGTGAGTTCTAGTTCCGCCTAAGGCACAAAACCCAGCTGGGTGACTTTGGGCCAATCACCAGAAGATGGGGAGTTCTAGTCCCACCTAAGGCATGAAAACCAGCTGGGTGACTTTGGGCCAATCATCATAAGGCGGTGAGTTCTAGTCCCGCCTGAGGCAGAAAACCCTGCTGGGTGACTGTGGGCCAATCACCAGGAGGCAGTGAGTTCCAGTCCCGCCTAAGGCATGAAAGCTGGCTAGGTGACTTTGGGCCAATCACCAGGAGATGGTGAGTTCTAGTCCCGCCTAAGGCATGAAAACCAGCTGGGTGACTTTGGGCCAATCACCAGGAGGCGGTGAGTTCTAGTCCCGCCTGAGGCATGAAAACCAGCTGGGTGACTTTGGGCCAATCACCATGAAGGCTGGTTGGGTAATTTGGAGCCAATCATCAGGCGGTGGTGAGTTCTAGTCCCGCCTGAGGCACAAAACCCAGCTGGGTGACTTTGGGCCAATCATCAGGAGGCGGTGAGTTCTAGTCCCGACTGAGGCACAAAGCCCAGCTGGGTGACTGTGGGACAATCACCAGGAGACAGAAGTTCTAGTCCCGCCTCAGGCATGAAAACCGCCTGGGTGACTTTGGGCCAATCACCAGGTGGCAGCGAGTTCTAGTCCTGCCTGAGGCACAAAAGGCAGCTGGGTGACTTTGGGCCAATCACCAGGAGACGGGGAGTTCTAGTCCCGCCTGAGGCACAAAGCCCAGCTGGCTGACTTTGGGCCATTCTATCTGTCTCAGCCCAGCCCGCCTCACCGGGCTGTTGTTTTGGGGAAAAACAGGAGGAGAAAGGCGCGTTTTACATACGTTCTCTGCCTTGAGTTAATTATAAAGTAATAAAGGCGGGATTAAAAAAAAACAAATCTAATAAATAAACGCAGGCGTAGAATTTAGGAAAACTTACCTCACGCTGGCGGCAATTTCTCCCAGAGCTATGCAGGCGTCCTCCTTCTCATCCATGAAGGCGCTTCGCACGCACATCCTCGGGAAGGGCGGAAGAAAAGCTGAAGGTTACAAGTGAGAACCGGGCCTCAAGTGAAAGCTTGTCACGTTTCTAGTCCACAGGAAGGCTGAGGACATTTTCCGAAACAGGAAGACAGCACCCAGCCGCAGGTAGCCCTCGACGTATGACCACAATCGGGCCCAACGTCCCGTCGCTAAGCCAGACCGTTGTTAAGTGAGGTTTGCCCCGTTTTACGACCTTTCCCGCCCAAGTTGTTAAGTGAATCACCGAAGGGGTGAACTTAGTCACCCGGCTGTTGAGGGAATCTGTCTTCCCCCCCCCGACGGTCGCGAAAGCAAAACACAACCGTCATAAATATGAACCAGTTCACCAAGCGTCCGAGTTTTGATCATGTGATGCCGCAACGGTCGTAAGTGTGGAAAAATGGTCGTTAAGCCGCTTTCCTCCATACCGTGGTAACTTTGTACGGTCACTAAAGGAACTGTCGTAAATCGAGGACTACCTGTACGAGCTCAGAAACTGGGAAGGAGGGAAGCAAAACTCGCACTCGTGTCCCGTCCCACGAAACAAAGGCCGAATTCGAATTTGGGACACCCCCCCTCATAAACCCTCACACACACCCCTCCC